CATGACTCTCTCGAATTGTCCTGACGAGTAAAATCTCTTGTTCTAGAAAAATCATCATAATTTAGCCACAAATTTTCTATATTTCCTATTTACTATATATTTATATATATATATATATTATGTGTGTGAACTGTTGTCAGTGTTCTGGGCCAAACTGTATGCTACGATTGTATTGCATACTGTGGATCGGATACAAATTTATGCGTGCAAGCCGATTGGTAGCCAAGGCACAACTTGTGAACGACATACAGCTCGTTATACGTATTCGTGTCATATTGCTCATGATATTATATAAATATTTACTAAATACCTGTACTATGGTAGTGTATACTTACTTATTAGCTCAATGATGCTCGATTGCGGTCAAGACCCGACTGGAAGCTAGACCTACGCTACATGTTGTGCGAAGGGCACAACTTATCATAAACTTCTAAACCCTAAAACAGACTTTGCCAACAATATGTTCTCTGTGAAGTAGGTAAACACGGGGATTCTGATCACTGCCATAGTTAGCCTACAAGGACTTAGCTACACCTCTCTCAGCCCTTTTGCACTGTGCGCAATTTTCCTACACCTTTCTCTGCACCTGTTCTCATATACCTACATCGTTGTGCTCGCCACTTCAGTGATGATCGGCAACCGGAGGTGTTTAAAGCCAAACTGGAGACTACGCTGAACATCGGGTCGATTAGTTTTGGAGACAATCGACCGAAGTGTCTGATTGTGGACGAGATAGACGGGGCACATGCGGTAAGCCGATCTGCTATTTATAGAACAGTTTACGTTGGCTGGTAATAGTTTATATCACATTTATGATTGGTTGATAATATATTTGATGCTTTGGGGATCGATTAGTTTTGGGAAAAACCCACTGAATTGTCTGATTTTAGACGATATAGACGAGGTACACGTGGGTCCCTGGAATTATTTGTGTAGCTTTCATTGGTTGATAACAGTCTACACCAGATACAGTTGATTTCATTGGTTGATAACAGTCTACACCAGATGCAATTGATTTCGTTGGTTGATAACAGTCTACACCATATTTAATTGATTTCATTGGTTGATACAGTTTACATCAATTGGCTGATAACAGTCTACACCAGATATAACTGATTCCATTGGTTGGTAATAGTCTACACCAGATATAATTGATCGTTATTATAATTGAAGCCTTTGTTTTTATTGATTATTAGTACCGTTGATATTTGCAAGTACCAGTTAAAAACACCGCGTTATTGAGTGCTATCAATAGCAGCCAATAACACATTCTTCAATTAGCATCTCTGACATCTCTTGGAATAGGGCGCCGTCAAACACCTGGTCAATCGGCTCAATGAGATCCCAACTAAGAAAACTAAGGCGAAGAAGTCGAAAAGTAAGTGAAATGTCAGCAGTACACGTATAAGGTCGTTATAGATGCAGATATGATCTATTTTTAGCTTTGATACAGATGCAGATATGTTCCATTTTTAGCCTTGGTTGATACTGTAGTTTGATTGGCCGTCTATGTAAATTTCAGTCTTTTTGTCCGATTGTCCCTGGCAACCAATACATATCGCCGTGGATGTTCTATTTTTAGCATAATCTATTATTAGCAAATTCTTGTACCACATATATATTCCATTTACAACTTACTTTTCGGATCGATTTGATGCACTGTTCGTAGAGTTGCGATGGGTGTTAATTCGAAGTAATATGTACATCCACATTGCTTATACCACACAAAAATTTCTTAATTGCAGATAAAATTAAGGGGCACCTCCGAAGACCCATCATATGCATCTGTAACAACCTGTAAGTGGTGTTGTCATGACTACTAGTCAGCATGTGTACATTTTTT